ATCTCCCCCTTCTCCGAGTTCCCAGGACTCAGATTCTGCTGCCTGGGCCCTCCACTCGCAGCCTCTTTCGGGAGCACATACATAATGACTTRCAGGAGAAATGATTTAAGACGACAAAACTTTTTCAAGATCAAGTCAAGGTGCCAGCATATTCAAAAGCTGTCAGATATATCAGGGCAGGTGCTTGGTGAGGGATGTGCTTTGTATCTTTGATGTGACAAACCTACTGCAGTAAATTCACAAACGTGCACTTGCTGCTGCCTTTTCCAAAGCCCTGCCATCAAGCCAKCACCTTTAGATCAGTCATACTGAGTGAAGAGATGCAAAAGGATCTTTTGCTAGAAATGCTTTTCCTGGTTCATTGACCTGTTTGCAATGTCTGTGATGTGCAGCATGTCCCCTGATTTGGAGAGATGGTTGTGGCTGTATTTCATAGCACAAAGGCTGGATTTAAAACTTTTCTTGCTGGTGTGTCCCTCTTCTGAAAATATTTGTGAGGCCCCACTGTTTTTATGGACCATTTTCTGCTGTAGGCTGGATAACCTATTCTTCAAAGAATCCCACAGATAATAAACTGAGGCAGAGAGACACTGAGTGGATTTCCTGTAGATATATAAGAATTCAGCAGAAGTGCAAGCAGATGAATAGTGCAAGAAGTGTCCTAACTACTGAACTGTCCTTGTCTCCCATGTGCAGTGCAGAATACACAGAATATTTGTCTTTTAATGGATAGCTTTTTGGAATACGTAACTTTTCAAAAGGCTGATGTTAGGTTAATGATGAATCCTACAAAATGAAGTAGGAAAGACATTAATTTTGATGTGACAGGAAAGTGCTTTCCTAATGGGGTAGTAATTAAATAAGAAGGATAGTTATTTTAAAAAATGGTAAATTTAGTGTACCCTACCCCTCCTATCTCAGCAGTTCTAGTGGCAGTTCTGGGTAAGGAAAAGGAATGTTTCTGTCAAGCATGAAGTACCACCAAAAAAGTATAAAAGGAAAAATGTGTCATAAGAATGATAAAAATATTAAATAAGGTCAAATAAATGAAATCAATTTCCAGAAGAGAATAATAAAGACTGTGAAAAGGTACCCAGAACGCCTGATGACTTTTCTATTTTCTTAATTGGGATAATGATACTGAAACTGACATCAAATATTTCCCCAGTAGCAAAAACCACCCACAAACCCCAGCCAGCCAAAATACCGCTCTCAGCATAAGATCTGTGAAGGTTAAAGGCTTGAGTCTGCCATTAGGAGAGTGCTACTCTTCTCCCAAGGTCAGTCCTTACATATGGAGAAGTAATTTTGATTCTGGTCTCCTCACGCTACAAAGTCAACGCTTACCTTTATTTCAACAGTGCTATATTTGGCAAAGTACTAATATAATTGTGTTTGGTCCCAGTCATGTCCTGTTTGAATGTTAAAATCCTCTTAATACCAAGCCATTGTGTGCTCCCTCTTGTAGCTTATGTGATGTATAAACCAGCGAGCAGTGSAGACTGCCGGAGCAATCCCTGCAGGAAAACCAGTGCTGCCAGKGCCCACTGGGGGGTTTTATTTCTCTTTACCAGCTCTTGACTGGAATCTTACTTCCACAGACTAAAATTTCTTTCATTGTTTTTATGACGCATGAAGAGCTCCTGCAGAACATTTTTGGTGTAGTTTTATCCAAAGAAGATGCCGTTCATGCAGTCCCAGGCTGCATCGTAGCATAAGCCWAATATGGCACGTAGGCACGAAGAGATGACCTCCAACAAATCACACCGTGCATCAGCCYATGTATAAACCTTCAACTTGTTGTTCTTTCATGTTCATGCTGTTCCAGTCACAAACTTCTCTGTGCATATTCCATTGCATCACACTGAGGACTTCTCCCTCAGTTAAGGCCCCTTAATTGGACAGAAATAACCTGGCAGTCTGATTCATCTTACCAGAAACCACCACTACCTCCTTGCTAATAAACACAACTTGCAAAGAGTAAAAAATGTGATTGTACAACCTCAGATCAGATTCTGTAGCCCAAGGACCTCTGCCTTTCTCATCAGCCAGTAATGTGTGCCTCGGAAAGGCTTTAATAACATAGCAAAGATGTGGTGGTACTTGCCCAGAACAGTTTCTTAGCTTACAAAAAATCCATAACTCAAGGATTTGCTAAGCCAGAGCCTTTGTCTTTATGTCTAATAGCCTTTGATATGTTTCCTTCATTTCTGAATTATTTAGCTACTTTTTAGATTGATGTTGATTTTAGGGTCTAGTGTTCTGCAGGAGGGAATTTGATATTAACTTCATGCTGCACAGTTTATTAAGAAAAGACTAGGGATGTTAATAACAGGTTCAGATGCTGTCTGAGCCCCCATGCTGCCTCTGCTCACAATTATCCTGGAATCAGGATTTCCTAGCTCATGTGGTGCAGGATCACCGTACCAAAGTTAAGAGTGCCAGTGACTGCAGTTAAAAGCCACCCCAGCTGGAGCACCCCTCTCTGTTGTTTTTTCAATGTGAATGGGAAACTCTGTCCAAACCACAGGATGCAGAGTCAAATTGTACCTTCTCTGGCTTTTTTCAAGCCAAAAAGGCTTGACCCACAAGATGCTTGGGTATGATCATATTTCTGTGGGAACCAGAGTGCTGACTCAAGAGTGTTCAGCTCTCATGGGAACCAGCCAGAAAGAACTTCACTCTCCCCTCAAATCCTTGCATTCCAGGCCTGGAWTTTTTTCAGATTATATTTGTAATCCTACTTGATTTCTCAAATAAACAGTGAAATAAAAACAGTTGGCCAGAGGGAAAACCTTCCAGTTACTGAAGGGGAAAAGAACACAATATCCAAATGACTCATGGCTCCGTGGGTGAAGTTATGGCCGCATGTCGTAGCCTGGGATGTGGGTTTGTGGTCCGATGCCACATGGAGTGGATGCACTTAGGTTGTGACGTTARTGTAAATGGCTTGGGGAGGAATTTTCCTGTGGCTTCCTAGAGACAAGTTGCTTGTTAAGATACCACTGACAGCACAGTGGCAATTAATAAGACAGGGAGAACACCCACCAGGTGCAGCTAAACCCTCCTCTGGACACCAGCTGGGGCAAATATGACAAAACCCTTCTGCTGCTAGAAGAGGTAGTCCTACAGGAAGTCCTGGAGATGGCTGTGGCTGAAGAAACTGTGAAGACAGAGTTTCTGAGGGCTGGAGGGAAATCTGAAGAGGGACAGCAGGAGCCTTATCCCTGTGAGATACCTGGTGCCTCTGCAGCTTTGCTCTCCTGGAGCAGCTTATCCGAAAGACCTTCTGGATGATCATGCTTGGATGTTTGATTCTCAGATGTTTGATTCCCGTATGTTTGATGCTCTGATGTTTGATGCCCTATTGCTTGGTGCCCCCTGCTCCTTCTGGTTGCTGGTGCTGTGGGTATCCTCAGGTTACTGACTCCCTTGTTACCTTTTCCTCCAAACCTTTTGGTTACMGTAGACAAAACACATAAATGTTAATGCAAATGTAAGTACAAAGGCCTCTTTGTAAAGCAGAGCCCAATTTCTGCTTTCCTTGCCACTAATCACCTGCTGGAATTCAACCACTTCCTTGGAAGTTACCAGCAGTTACATGCTGTCCTATATATGAACAATTTGCAGATGTGACAAAAATAGATGTTGTTTTGTCTGGATTCTCAGTTTTTCCTCTGAATCTCTCCATTGCAGGATTTCCTTACCTCTCCCAGTCCTTTCCATCCTTTCAGTCCTCTGGTTGCTGTTCTGTGTCTGTGCAATGCAGGAGCAGCTCAGGGAAGCTGCATGCCAGGACTATCCTCTGATGATATCTGCTGGAGAGGACATGCCCACAGAATTGGTGGCCAGTTTTTGGGGAGTCCCCACCCCCCTGAATATATACACTGCCTGGGAGGGACTGGTTTTCCTCTGAGTTAGTGGAGGGAGGAATGAGGGTCCATTAAAGAACCAAATCAAATCCCTCTTTTAGGCAAGAGCTGGGGAGCATTTTTTTTTTTTCTACATCCTACCACTGCTTTCTGCAGCAGAAACATGATGGGATATAGTTTACAGCTTGGGAGACAACAGCAGGGCATTGCCTGAACCTAGATGTTGGCAGATCAGTTGGCATTGGGAAACCAGCCAACCTTTTTCAGTTTTCTGGGACACTCTGGTTTGCCCATGTGATTAAAATTTGCAGTGTTAGATAAACACAGATACATAGAATTTATTCATTTCTAATTTGAACAATCAGACACTTAACCATGAAGGGAAGACCAAGGGAGCRTCTTTGTTTGTGGCTTCAGCTGTGCTGGGAGTCAGGGCTTGTCCCACATTTGAAGAATCTTCTTTTTTTAGGCAGCTCAGAGGCTTGGGCTGTTGCTTGGGAAATGGCTGTATTCTCCCTGCAGGCAGATCGATACATTTCAGCTCACTGCACTGCAAGTAACTTTTCATCGTACATTAAGAATGAGGAAAATAAAAGCCAAGATGGATGTTATTTTGGTTTTGCTTTTATTTTGAATTATTTATTAAGAAGTCACTGCTGTCTTCCTTCTCATCGGGAGACAAAATGCCTTTGTCTTTAATGATATTTTCCTATTAAAAAGAAGCAAGGTCTTCCCAGTTTTATTTCCCTCATTCTCTTCTTGGTACTGAAGTGTAAATCTGGGGTCTCCACAGCATGCCAAGATGAGCTCCTGCAGTCCCACTGATGCTGGAGGAGTCACACCTCGTGGTACAYTTCTGACCAGTTTTATAACAACATTGCAGATGAGCTATGTGTTCTAGAAGTGATTGTTGGCACGTAAGCAGAGGGTTATAAGTAAACCACAGGCTAGCTGAACTAACATTTTAATTAAGTATTTACTGAATAGCTAATAAAAATATGAATCCTTTTCAAGTGAATTCTTAATATAATGTGTTATAGGGAAAGATTCTGCAATTGGCTCCACTATTGATAYGATTTGGGTATTCCAACTAACAATCCATTCTGTTATTTTTGTTCCTAAATCTAGGTTGTCCTGAAGGGGAGGATAAAGAAACTGGCTACCAAGATGGTAATCACTAGTGGAAATGAAGAAGACAAAGGCAGTCAAGAAAAGGAAAGCAAAGAAGAAACCATCTTAGCAATGCTTGGAATTATTGGGACAATTCTGAACCTCATTGTGATCATTTTTGTGTATATTTACACAACGTTGTAAATTAGAAGGCATGCATATAGACCAGATAAAACGGCCATTAAGAGTGACAACAAACATTGCTGACTATTGACAAGTTCTTTAATCAGAATTGACTCTGTATTATATTAACACATCATAAAAGCACTGCCTGCAGGCAGCGAAGACTGAAGCACAATTAATTTAACAAGACTTTTTCACACAGTAATAAGCTTAACTCTTCTCTCCTACCCTCTCCCTTTCGGTTTGGTTTTCAGTTTGGGGGAGAATGACTGCAGTTATATAAGTTGTAGCTTTGAAGAAATCCACCAGGGAGATGTTGTTTTAACATAATTAGNAAAAAAAAAAAAAAAAAAAAAAAAAAAAAAAAAGGAAAAGAAAGAAACTGTACACTATATATAATTAGATATGTATGCTGTATACCCGCAAAGATTGAACTCAAAGATAGCTTCATAGCACAGATCATGTGTCTGYTAGGTCAAATTTTTTTTTCTCTTGGTTTTTGCTTTTACTTACATTGAATCTGACAAGCTTTTTATTTAGAATGAACATATGGTGCAATCATGAAAAAAACATTTCCATTGAGCAAGGTCTGCCTAAACCTGATAAAATGTTGGGAGAAAAAAATTACATGGTTATTTTTCCTTTCTCATTTGCTTAACATCTGTGTCTGTTCATACCAATGTTTATAAATATATATTTTTAATAAATGTGCTATATTTTTAGCATGAACCAAATATTTTGAGACACTTGTATTCATGCAGCTAAATTTTGTTTGATGAAGTGCCCCTTTTGACAATGGATGTTATTTTTCTCGGCAATTATACAGCAGTCTTGTTTGCAGCCCTCTCACTGTGGTCTGAAGCAAGCTCACATCATGCTCATATGCATGACTTGAAGTTGGAATGTCAGCTGAAAAGCATTGCTGCTTAATACGGGAAATAGCAAAACATTGTAAGGTGACCTTTGGAGACTGGTTGCAGAAAGAAGGCTCTATTTATAGTTAAAAGAAAAAGCAAATGAAAGGAATATTGAGGCATCTCACAAAATATTGCAAAATTCACAGAATTGATGGCTTTCAAAATCTGGTCACGCTCTCTAAGTACTTGTGCTGAGAGAAGCGAGCAGAGGTTGATACAGTTGAAAAGAGAAATTTATAGAGCCTATAGTGAGGGGCTAGCAGAAATCCAGCTTGTAAATACAGAGTGTATTTTAAATGTGAGGATCATTAACTCTTTACGCTTATCTGACATGCTTTAACTGAGTTGGTGCAGTGAAATTCTCTGACTTGTGTTTTTGACAGGAATGTACAATGATGATGATCACCATTTTTCTTAAGAGTTCAGTACCTATAAATATACAAAGCATTAAAAATATGAGACCTCAATTCTGCCTCAAGCTGCCTAAGTACATGCCCACTAACATTGACATATCCTCTTAAAAAATAGGTCAATTAATWGTTTACTGACTTGTGGTTTGGATTGCATCCTCAGATGCACAAGGAGGATTGGTATTCAAGTCAGCCAGAACTGTGAAAATGTTGACCCTAGAGTCTCAATTTCAGTGATCAGACCTGTCTCTCTGGAATCAGTAATGAGTTTTTCACCATTTTCCAGGTGCTAGAATAGTCTCRAAAATATAGACTTTCATTGCAGGATGTAAAAGCAAGCCTGGAGATTCTGAGGGGCACCTTTTATAAACAGAGGTGTTCAGTCTCTTGTGGTATCGTACAGTCAATAACAAAACCATTGGGGGCAGAAAAAAAGGTCAATAAATGAACTACAATGAAATCCAATATGCAGACTGAAGGAAAGCTGAGCAAAAATAATCTCATGTTAATGAAAACATGACAGGGTGAGAAAGGTGAGAAAATGAGCAGAGATTTGAAGCAGAAAACAGCACAGAAAGCCAGTRCCACACATGCCAGCATGGCTGAGGAAACACTTGTGTTTGCACGGTGCTGGTAGAGCTGCCGATCTCACAGAGGAAAAGAAAGAGTAGTGGCACAGGTCAGAGTAGCTCAGTGAAAGTGATTTTGTTTTTCAGTTTATAGTTATTTATTTATAATTCTAAGGAATCAGCAAACTCTACTTTTTGATCATTCTGATGGCTAAAATGTATTTTACTCCACCAGGCTTTTTTTCTCCTGTTTAAACTACTGCTGCACACAGCYTGTGGCTCCGAGCACCTGCACATGCTCCAGGCACCTGTTGAACTTCAGCCTGGCACGATCTTCTCTGCAGATATTTCTCTTGAACTTTTCCGCCTCTTTTCCAGCAAACACTGCAGCAAACTGCCTGAGGCTCRTGCTCATCTTCTGGAGGGACAGCCTCTGAGTTAAAAGATGAGCTCTCATGTCAGATACTTCTTTACCTCTCTCTGCATCAAATGGTAATACCTGTCATCTTCTTGTGGGCATGAAGATGCTCAATGAACCAAATTTCATTAAGGGCTTCTACTAATATTACAAATTAAAGCTCTGCATTGTAAAACAACATAGGACACTTCACCCTAAAGTAAAGTAGGAACGAAAGTAAAGTAGTAACTAAAGTAAAGTAGGAACTAAAGTAAAGTAGGAACTTATTCTACTCATCACAGTTGCATTCATTCAGACATGGGCCAGCACCTTCAACAACACAGGCACTACAAACAGCCCAAATAAGCTGAAGTGGTGGCTCAAGAGCCTAAAGATTCCATGTTTTCTCTTCTGTATTTTGTCTGTTAGTCTTGATGCAGGCAGTGTGTCCAGGTGTCTATCACCCCACCAGCAGCAGCCATGTGCTTTGCCATAGGATTTTTATTCCTCTGAAAAGTTTATCCCATTCCATTAAAAGTTTAACACTTAATATTTTAATTTTACAGGATTAAGTTCACAGATATTTCTAGAAATATCCTGGGGCAAGTTCTCCTTAAGTAAATTAATTAAGTATTCATTTAAATAAAAATGAAGAGTTTCCATTGAGGGCAACTTCTTTCCCTTTTATTTGGTATTCCTGGACACTGATAGAGGAAAAGTGTGTTTTCAAGAATGACAGTGGAAGAGGAACATTTCATATAAAGATCTGAAGGTTTGCCTACCCACATAGCTGTGGGCAGGCCTGCTCTTGGCTCAGTGMCAGCTGGAGCCAAATTGACCTCATGCTTTTTTTATGCAAGCAGTTTTCAGCATGCACCTGTAAGAAATACTTGACTAGGTAGCATATATGTCATGGATACCTTATAGTCAGTAACTGCTCTATGAACAGTTGAATAAAACTTCTCATTACAAGAGATGAATGGTAAATCTGCTTTGGCAAGGAAAAATCCAACAGTCTCATTCTTGGCTTGACTTGTAGGTAATGCAAACAGTTTCCAAAATAAATTTTTTAAATTGAAATATTAGTCCATTAGTGACAAGAACTTTCATCTTTGCATTTGAGTAGAAAGAAATTAATGTCCAATATCACAATGAGATATTAAAGCATTACCTTTTGCTTCAATCAGCTAGGAATACGATTACATATTCTGTGTAGTTTGATGGTTTGTGTTATGGGAATGAAAAATATTTTCACGGTGTGACAGAAAGGTGACATTGTCCCCACTAGTATCTGATGTGTTGGCTGGTGGGTACAGAAGAATTTCAGGAAGGAAGAAGATAAAACTGTTTATCATGTACATGAGATGGTGAAAAAGAAGACAGCTTACTGCCCTTCTCTCCGGTTCCTACATCCCACATTGAAAACTTGACATCTCAGAAACCACATCCTTTATACAYGAATGGATCATCCTGCATGCCCTGTCAGGGCAGCCCTCTCAGTTATGTACCTTCTGCTCCTTCCACCTGCTTCTCTGCAGCAGGATGCAGCTCGCTGTGCCTGGGAGGGTTTGAATGTGAACCAACCCTGGTAGCCTCTGGAAGCACTTGCTTTGCTTTACTGTGGTGTTATAGTCAGCTGTAGGCCTCAGTTTTGTTATTTTGAGGATAGTCAATAATCATCATCATGTTACTATCTGATAATCTAGGGGATACCTCACTTGTTGAATTCCCAGACAAATCTCAACCCTGGCCCATAGGTAAAATTTTGATTCAGTAGGCATCAAAATACAAAAGCTTCATTTACATCACGACAAAACTTCAGTATTAAGTGTTGTTCAAGGCTGTGTATCTTATATGTTCACTTAAGTTATACACTAGAGCTCATCCCAAATGCCCCAAAATCTCATCTGTATCAAGAGTTCTCATCTCTTCTCAGTCAGAATTAACACTTCCATGTGAATTATGGTGTATGCAGAGAACTTGGCCTGGAGAGGGAAAGGATAAAAATTACCTGGATTAAAACTCCAGGGAGGCAGCGCTGCAGAATTTACTAATTAGTTTGAGGTTTAGCTGGAATACTTTGTTTCTGAATAACCAGAATTTTGGASAAAAAATGTTATTGTTCGTTGGAAGGTTTCTGGAAAAACACGTCTAATTGAAAGGAAGAACCTCATTGACAATATTTCAGCAGCAATCTTCCAAAGAAAACACTGACCAGGACTCAGATTGGCTTGCTTCCCAAGATGTTTGGCAGCCCAGGAACAGAGTGCACATATATGTAAGCACCTCTTGTTTACTTAGAGGCTTTGTCTTCTTTAGAACAAAATGCACAGATTTGCAAATACATGAAATAGTACATTATGCAATCAACAACAAAAAAATCTGTTTACCTTTATTTCCAGCAGAATTTCTGYAGAATCTGCACTTCTTCCATGCCTGGCTGTGTGTTTTGGAGGCTGATCCCGAAAGGTCTTATAAATTCAGTGTATCTTTCCTCCCCTACCACTGATCCAAAAAAAACAAAACCTGTTCCATGTGAAAACCTCCACACCAGACTGAACTCCCACATGCATCCATATGCRTTTATCTACATATGAACCATCTGGTATCCAGTAAGACTTTCCTTGTCTCAGGCATTCRGTTTGCTTATCTGCATTTCACCTGGGGACTCAGATGGTGAAAGGCAATTTGTAGAGCTGAAAGCACCCGACTGTTTCCAATGATCCAGCTTTGCATAATGGAGCTGTCACCTGGAGAGTACCTGTTCGCGTGCGTGGCACGCCACACACCATCCTCTGTGTGTGGTCGCACCCTGCACAGGTGGGGCTGGGCTGTGACTGTGACCACACAGCCAAAAAAGTGTGCCAGAGAAAACGTTTTGTGCAAAAGCCTGGATCCCAAGTCAGGCTCTGTAGAGTGAAAGGACATCCTGCCTTGTTCATGGAAAGGCACTGAGCTATGTCCACCAGGATCCCTTCTTCTGCAAACAGTCCCACTTCAGCTGCAGGTGATCCGTGTGCCACCCTGACCCTCTTGTGGCAGCTGTTGAATTTCCTTCCACCTGAGGGAAGCGAGCAGCTGTGGACTTCCTTAATCTCCTAGAATAGAGAACAAGTCGCTCTCACATGGCAGAAACAGCAGCAGGTGCATCAGTTTCTGGCTGACAATGACAAGGCCATCTGCCTAGGGTGCTGATGGKAACCCTTTTCCCACCCATCATTCCTCTCAGTCCTGGAAATGCAAGTTAATTACCTGGACTCCAGGTTCTTCTCCACAGCCTCAATCACCATTTAGACTCAGGCAGGCTTCTTTTATGATGCTGAGACTTCTTAAACTCAAATGGCTCCTGGAGCYAGGCTTTCAGGGCCATATTAAATGTCCTCATACCTTAATCTGGCCTTGCTGTCATGCAAGTGTCACCATACCAAGATTTGGGCATTGTCAGTCTCTGCTAAGAAGGTGTCAAGGGACAAGCATTAGCAAGGGACACCACGGGGGAGCCATGGGCAGCCAGAGGTAGGGCACTGTGGCTGTTTTCCCCAAAACTTATCTTCTTGAGGASCAGTGGTATTGTGGTGGATTGCTGTTGGTGGTGGGTAAATGTAATAAAATGTTTGTGTAGCAGGACGTGATTTCTCACCTTTACTTCCTGCAAACGTAATGGGAAAGGCTTTATAAATAATTCTGCTTTTGTCAATTTAAAATATGGATTAAAATTTACTATATATGTTTTCAGATTTTAATGTGCTGCTTTTCTTTCCCCCTTATCAAACAATTCAATTTCAGTTTTGCAGATGCTATTCTTGCTTCGGTAATAATGATGACTAATGCAAAAGCATTGGTACTGGATGCAAAAGGAAGGAATGAAGATTATATTGTCAATGTTGCATTAATCTGTTCTTGGGAGCAGGAAAAGATAAGTCGATGGTTTTCTCTGCATCCAGTGCACATAGTTAGCAGTATTTTTATCATTTGATACCATTATTTCTGGAATTCTGTGGGACAAAGTTTCACCATTTAGAGCTGTGCATATTCAAACAGCAAAATGAGAAGTATATTGAATGTTTGCATTAGCTAAAAGAAAACAATGTCAGACATAAACATTTTGAGCAGACTCAAATTCAAAAGTGAGACCGCACAACCATCATTCTTACACCCCTGCTGACATTGTATAATACACACCAGGACATAATTTAGAAGCTCACTCTGCTAAGACTATTCATGTGCATAACTCAGACCAAGGGGCCAAGTTCCCTCACAGTTAATATGCATATGAATATGTATTTRCAGGTTAGGGGCATTAGCTGGCAGTTGATAATTCAGCTGTGGCAAAAATGCAGCTAATCAGACAGGGAAAAATTCGAAATTTCCTGTACAATGAGATACTTCTCTTTGTCTCATTGAACTTATTTTCAGCTGATTTGTTTCAGACTGCATGATTAATGAGAATGATGCTAAAGCCTGCCCAGCTGATGAAAGAATAAACACTATGGAGGAGTATTAAATCTACATTTTCTATCAGAATCCAAGAATTTCCCTAAACAACTTAAAAAAAAAAAATCTGTGCTGAATGTTTTACATTTTCCTTTATGTTTCACTATCAGCCAACATATTATTTCTATTTGATTGTATAATAATATTTATGTACAGTTTCACTGAGGTGTGCAAACACCAGCAAATGGATTTTGCATCCTTTGTTGCTTTTTAAGTTTTATAAGCCTCTTTCTAGTACATATCCATCTCTTAAAGATGAAAAAGACAACTAAATTACTATACAATTATGCAAACCTCACTGCCATCTTAGGTTGAAAGTATATGACCATTTACACAAAACAGGGGTGTTATTTCTTGAGACTGTTCATATGGCCCAAGTGACCCTGATATGGTGATGAGTACAATATTACATTCTTTCATTTTTAGAGAARGAAGAGTCCAGCTGTGAAACTCCTTGAAGCAGTGCATTGCACCATATTTGAAATTTACAGAGCAAGGCAAAAAATCTGATGACCACAGACAATGCTCAGCTTCTGGCTGACCTTCTCCCATGGGGCAATTGCCCTTGGTGTACCCTGACAGACCAAGCTCTCTACATTTGATGGAAGGCAGTAATAGTCAGGTAATTAACATCCCAGAATCCGAGATGTCACCATTACTAACGTCTGATTTCACTGGTCCAGAGACAAAGTTGTAATCCTTCGCCCACCTTTTTCCTGATTTAATTTTCATTGTCATCAAAAAAAGTCTGTGAAGAAACCTCCCCCCCCCCCCCCCCCCCCCCAACATTTTGTTGAATTATCATCTCATTGAAAACTACCTGGATTACAATGTTCAGGCCAGCTCTCTCAACCATCAGTAGTCCTTGTGTATGCAGTAGAATAAATCAAATTACAATTCCTAACTCTCTTTGATTCCTTCAGTTATGCTTTCCCAGTTCTCCACTTCCACAAAAATAGAGGATACCTCTCAGGTCCAGCAGCCAACCCAACAGTCCTTCTGCTTTTATTCCCAGGTTTCATCCCTGAGATAGCCATTCCCTACACACTGGAGCCTAAACCAGAGCCTGTGTCCTGCCTCCTTTCCAGCACTGATCCACCCTGGGAGTGCTGCACCTTGGACAAACAGAACTGCTCAGCAAGAGCTCTGCTGGCTGCAGGAGATTTGGCTTGTAAAACCTGCTGTGATCAATCATGTCAATCAGTAGAGTATTCCAGAGTATGCAGCAATTAATGAGTTAGGGTTTGGTTAGGGGTTTTTTATTTGGGGGGTCTTTGTTTTTGTTTTTTTGGGGCTTTTTTGTTTGATTGTTGTTTGGGTTTGGTGGGTTTTTTTTTGCATTTTGCATTTTATTTTGCAGGGTTTTTTGCTCACTCTTTCATAAATTGAGACCACTCCTCACTCCATAGCTCTTATGCATCAGACTGCTTCTCCCATGAGTTTGGGAGGATTAAAGTGAAGTGGAAAGCAAGAGGATGTTGACAGCCCTGTAGCAAACCTTCAGAGGTACAAAATTCAGCCTCCCAGCACAGAGCCTGCTCTTCCCCATGCCCAGCTGTTGGTCATGTTGTCCCTTGCACTCTTGGGAGAGTGAGGGGATCATCCAAATTTTCCCCATCCTAACTGAGTTAGGAGCTCTGATGGCCTTGCTGTGCTGAGTGACAGTGGCAAAGGCCRGGGTCTCAGGGGGTCACGACTGGGGTGGCTGTGGGCTCTGAAAGCCTTCTGCTCAGCACTGAAGTCCTGCTGCACTCAGTGGCCACCTCATGCTTCCATGGAGTTTATCTATCACCGAGATAGATAGCAGAGCTCCCCTGTTTCATGCTGCCCACAGGAAAAACCTGTCACATGTTTATTTGTCAGGGGATTTTTTTTTAAATAATGCTATACTAAAGAAGCAAAAATAAAGCAACAGCTAATATAAAACACAAAAGCAACCAGTGATTTCTTAAAGTGCTCCTGAATATCTCTCCTCAGAATACATGTTTTTAGAGAAGTCGCTCTCAGGAGCTTTGAAGGGCCCTTTGCAGCACCTGGTGTCATCCTCATTCCTAGAAGTCACCACTGCTTTGACTCAAGTGGCCTGAAAAGGCATCTTGGGACCATTCCAAACCCCCCAAGGATGTTGTGTGATGCTGCAATCCCCTAATCTCCATATTCTCCTATGTGTGTACTTTTGGACAGGACAGGATAGGACAGCATAGGATAGGATAGGATGGGATGGGATGGGATGGGATAGGATAGGACAGGACAGGACAGGATAGGATAAACAGAATTAAATACTTTAGTACCAAGGGACCTGCAACAACTATAACCATCCAGATTGTCCAAAAGCTAGAGCACTTTACTAAGGGCACTGTCCAAATGACTCTTACTGACTGTTTTGAGACATCAACCACCATCAAGAAGCCTATTCCAGGCCTATTCCACTCCACCCTCTTGATAAAGAAATATTTCTTAATGCCATCACTGGACCTCCCCTGAGGCAGCTTTGGACACCATTCCCAGGCCATATATCACTGGATCCCAGGTAGAAATGCTCAGTACCTTCCTCTCTACTTTCCCTTATCGGGAAGCGGAGAGCAATGAGATCCTCCCTCAGCTTCCTTTTCTGCAAACTAAAAAATCCCAAAGTCAATAGCCAGTCTCACCAGGAGCTGCCTCACTTCTTGGTGGAGTTTGAAAATGGACCAGTTTTCTGAATCTGTATTCCTCAGATTCCTGCCACTTCCATGTGAGAGACTGGGTGGAAGCACCACAGATGAAAGCAGGGTATCCAGCTAATACTCTTCTTGTCTAAAATTTGACTCTTGTTTTAAATTCTCAGATTGTTCAAGGATAATTTTTAATTGCAGCTCAACTTTTAAGAGTCACTTCTATGAGTCTTATTTTACTTTGTGAGCACTTTCATGCCATGGTGTTGTAAGAATTGCAGTAGTGACATGTTTCATCCACAGTGCCTGGAGTGCTCACAAATTCTTCATGGAATTGCTGGGTTCTTCCCATCATCTCATCCCATCTCATCTAAATGAGATACAAAATTAATAATCAGGATAGAATCATAGAATGGTTTGAGTTGGAAGGGACCTTAAAGATCATCTCATTTCACACCCTCTGTCAGAGGTGAGACACCATCCACTAGACCAGGTTGATCAGAGCCCCATTGAACCTGCCCAGGAACACTTCCAGGGATGGAACCTCCACTGCTTCTCTGGGCAACCTGTTCCAATACTTCACCATTTTCACAGTAAAGAACTCCTTCCTATCTGATCCAAAACATCCCCCTTTCCAGTTTTCAGTGGASGCACTTAGCTCCCCAGTCCCCATCCTGCTGTACTTCCACTCAAGAGCTGTGGGAAGAGAGGATGCCATTGAAGACTGATGGAAAAAGTTGAGTGCCTCAGCCTTCTCATCTATTGTTACCCGTTTTCCAGCATCATTTACCAACAGGATGACACCTACTTTTTTTTTTTTTTTAACCTTCATTACTAGGGGTTACTAATTTTAATTGATTGAAACATTGTTGCTTGTCTGAAAATAAAGGATCCTCACAAAATTAGTGGCAAAAGTAGGAAGTTGTGTTTTGATATCAGGAAACCTGAGGAGGATAAAAAGCTCATATTATTAAAATACCATCACTAATACCAGCTCAAACCCACTTTTAGTTCTGAGATCCCTCTGCAAYTGTCAAATGAGCTCAAAAATTTTGTATGCCTTCTTGCCATTTTAACGCAAGAATAACGCAAAAGGTCTTAAAACAGTGATCCTTGTGGTGCAATTCCACTGCCTGKAAAGTAAATAAAGAAATCAATAGGCATGCAGAGTGTTCCTCCATCAGCCCATACTCAGTTCCCAGAAGGATGTACTGAAGTGTGGTTTTAACAGTAAAACAGAATCTGACTGGGACTTTCCAATATCCTTTCAGATCAGTAAGATTTTATTTCTAGTCTTGTCCTTTCTACAGAGGATGAACAGTTTTCCTTTCAACCAGATGGTTTCCTCCTTCCGTGTGTCTTTTTAGTCATCAAGTCCTGCATGACAACGTCGTTGATATGTCATTGCTGAGAAGTAGTTTTAAGGAAAGAAATTAAAGAATCCAGTTGTAAAAATAAAATAAATGTTTGTATCAATTCAAGCTCCACAGACCAAAATGTATAGAATTGTATAAGAA